TCTCTGACGATGACTTCTCGTGTGGAACCGAAAGCTCAGGCCAATACATTAATTGATCCGGTGCTCGATTGGGCTCCTTCCTTATCCAAGCAGATACCTGGAACGCGAACTTTCTCATTCACGCAGATTTCTGTTTATCGAAGTACGTGAAGCCTGTCCGTGCGACCAGTTGGGTCTTTATTTAAATACCCACTAGGAATCAATGTGATATGGACCATGGTAGTTAGTCGATGGTCTACAGTTTAATTGTGTCTAAAATAGTACAGTGGAGCCTGGGGTGTCGAGCAACCCCATCTATGAACATTTCAGGTAACGAGTGAGCCACTCGCAGAAAATTTGTTTCGATTGACGAGCTTACGCTCGGTTAGTGAGTTGTCAGTGCGTGTGTCTACCTGTGTCCGCCGTTGAGTCTTGCTCCCAGGGCGTGGGTCCTCGGTCGCCTGCAGCCAATCAGTGAACTGATGCATTTTGATTGGCTACGTTTCACATGACGAGCTCGGTGCCGGAACGGATTAAACACCTTAATCGAAATTCCACTGTATGGCGATATTTGGTTGAAATTGTTGTGTTGCATATTTCTGTAAATGCGGTTGCCTACGGTGTAGAAATTTTGTTATTTCGAAAATATAGGCTTTATAGAAGAAAAAAAGTTTGTATGAGATCGGATGTTGATAGTCTGTCAAGAACCTACGAAATTGAAGTAGAATTATGAGGCATCATCATAAGCGTACCGTTTTTGGATTACTAAGGTGGCTTTTCCTTCGTAAAATTATTGTTTTGTTTTTGGCAACGAGTGCGTCTGTTAAGTTTCGGTGTTCTTAATCCATCGTCCTGAGATATACGTCCTCTGGTCTGGTGATCAGAGAGGTTTTGTATAGGGGTGTGGCTGATATTTCAAATCGAAATAAAGTGATTTTTCCCAACGAAGGCTTACAATCAATTTTACCTCTCAGTTACAATACGGTAGGCATGATATATATGGCCGCCTATACAGTACACGAGAATAGGAACGCTTGCCAATTTGAAATAGATGACCTTGCGCTAACTAACCCTAGCAGAAAACTAGAGCTTATCCTTAATCTTAGCCCTATTCTTACCCCTTACCCAAACCTTACAGTTAATACGAACTCTATATTACCTCAAACCTAACCCTAAACTGATAAAATTATATTTTAGGTACCACCAAAGAATTCCAAAACCATTAGAATTCTGTTCTATGGAGCGGTGGTAATGGGGATTATACGAGTAGAGTATTATGGGGATGCAGGGAGAAAGTAAAAGAAGTATAGATCAAACGAAATAGGGCAATAGCCGATAAAACTGTTATAAGGAAATTAATATGTAGCAACGAAAAGCGCGCGGTAACTGAAAAATTAATTAATTAAATTAAAAATGGATTACCGTTACCACCAGTTCCGTATTACAGAATTGCTGAGGGTTTCGGTTTCTCTAATATACTGTTACCCTAAACTGGACTTCAACCTTCACCTTAATATTAGACCAAATTTTCCTGGCATTTCGTGCAAAGCTGCATATATTGTGGGCGGATCCTGTGTTCCCGTATCCTGTTTAGAGGGCCATAAAAGTGATCTTTACTAACAAAACTTTTGTATAAAGGGTACCTCTTGCAAAAAGTGCGTTAAGTAGATATTTCACTGGTGAATGCCCACGAACTTCTTTTTCCAAAATCAGGGGAAAAGTAGAAGGTTTTATCAGCTTACGCGCTTCTTCAACAGGCGGTGACAATTATACTGTCACAGACGTAACTTTTTTACTTTTCACATTGAATTGGAGCCATTTCTGTCATCATCATTATCATCATCCACGGTACGCCATCCGTCTTCCCCATCGAGCTTCATTACTACCCTCGTAGCCATTTTGAATTCCTCTGAACCAAAGTCTGGTGCAGCACTAACCTCCCTCTCTTTCCACTCAAATAATTTTCCCACGCGTCAAGCGTAAGGTAGGATCACGCGCAGCCAATTTTATATCCAGCGTCTGACCCGACACTTTGTGCAGTAGGCTCGAGTTACTGATTACTGTCCCTGTCCTTGTCTATGACGCCATAGCCCCACACTGCGCCTTTCACTTGATTGCGCATCGGCTCCGAGTTTTGTCATATCATTTCTGAGACGCCTTTGACTGTCTTTTTTCCTCACTTCTGCTTGCATAAGGCCTGACATCATTGGACAGATTTTGGCAAACTGTCGAACTGCGTTATACATAAAAACTGCTTACTGTCGCCTAACCTGTAGGCGTGAATTTATTGGACTGGAAGGAAGCATTTGTTCTGTTTATAAAAAGACGATGGCGAGGCTGGAAGAAGGTGATGGACTCAAAGATGTCCAAACTGACACATGACGTGATATTATTTTTTTTCACAGTCACTTAGCCCAATTTTTAAGTTTTTGTTTTGTTTTTCCAACCTACCTACGTTTCGTGTGTTATTGACGAACCTTTCAATATTTCTATAAATCGAAGTCAATAGTCGAGTGTGACAAAATCGAATTTGTTCCAAACGACAATCAACCTGCACAAATATTTAAACACACATTTCTCAATATTGTTTTTATTAGTTTCGATGAACAAAAATACGATGGGCAGTCTTGATTGGCCATAGCCACTTGTTGATAGGAAAATACT